GAGCGACATTATACCAGCTCTCTGCCCTTGTGTGTGTATGCTGCTCCCTCAGCGTTCCATGCTGCCTGGTCACATGCACACAGGACATCCTATACTCCTTCCTTACTGTTGACTGACAGGACGCTTAGCGAATCAGGGCAGCCTGGGTTCTGCTTCTCCTCATCCTAGCTTATTGTGGGCCGAGCAGTGGCTGTGTGCTGGGAATGGTCGGTGCTGTGTGTCACCGCTATCGCTGGCGCTGCATCCCTTTGGTAATGCGGACCTGGGCTCGCGTGCCAGCAGAGGGGGCCCCGCGTGCCCGCTCTGGCACACGTGCCATAGGTTCGCCACCGCTGCTCTAGGGAATATGGGAAGATTGTACAGATTATCCAAAGAAATCTCCCTATGCTTCATGCTGACAGTAAGACTTATGAATTTTTGTCTAAGAGCTGTAGGATTTCAAGTCAGAGGGCTCCCACATTAGGGTCCATCCTTTCCCCCCTCTCTTTTTCAGAATCAAGAGAGTACCAAAGAGGAAAAAAATCTGGTTATTTTTACAGTGGTTCATATAGATGCAGGATTTTTTCTTGTAGATACTGTAAAGTGCATATGAAAATGTAGGAGATACATTCTGTGGCATCAGGAAAAGTTTTTCCTATACAATGTTTTGTACAGATGTATGTGGAATAAAATTTGATTTGTTTGGAAGAGCATTGTGTGCAGGTTTTGCAGTTCCTATTATTAAATCCTTGAATTTTTTTTATTACTGTCATGATTATAAATTTGATATTAAAAGTAAAACATTTATTGTCTGTTTCCTTTTTAGCCTTTATTAGTATAAGTTCATGATTAGTGAAAATGACCTGCTGTGAATGTCAAATATTGTGCAACATTTTCTACAAGAGAAATCCTTAAATGGACACTGTACACCTAACTCTTGGGATCAGAGGCCTAGAGAGAGTTCTGAAAGCAGCCATTTTTTACATTTCAAATATATTTGAAAATCTCATATTTTAAATAACATCTTTAGTGATTTAAATAATATCACATTTTAGAAATATGATGTCCTTATTAAGCGCTAACCTCTTACTTGAACAAAAGATGAATCTGTGAAGTGATTAGTGAGATTTAAGGAATATAGTATGAAGGTGATTATTTACCATAGGACCAGGTGGGCCGTCAGCACCAGTTGATCCTGGCAGACCTTGCTCACCCTGTAAGAAAAGATTATTTTTTAATATAACTTGATATTTAGTGACTTATAGGTAGCATGTGACCTCAATGTACTTACCACAGGTCCTGGAATACCTCTTAGACCTTCAGGTCCAGGTTTTCCAGGAGGGCCTTGAGGACCAACAGGACCAGTCTTGCCAGAAGGACCTTCTAAGCCTGATTCACCCTGTTTCAGAAGAATTAGATTGTTAGCATGTGATAAACATTCACCAGGATACATCATGTGAAGAGCCTAGCTTACCTTTGCACCTTTCTCTCCTTGCCGTCCTTCTGGACCTGCTGGACCAGGTGGACCCTAAAAAAAAAGGCACCCCGTTAAAAATGAATGAATACATAGTTAATACATACTGTACATGCAAACTGTTTTACCAGCTAAAATATTTGTAAAGAAATATATATTATTGTGATCCAACCACCCCCTTACTCTTCCATATGATTGTCTCAAATAAGAAGACTTTTTAGGGTGTGGAATTCTTTGCCGCTCCCCTGTATCCTGCCTGCTATATGGACTATTAGTGAACGATATAACATGTCACACCCAGCCTAAACATTCCCCCTTCTGTAAAAAAACACATATGTCTACTTCATCCCTCATCCCATTTACAAAGAATAGTAGATAATAATAGAAGAACACTGCAAGCTTGATGTCATCTGTCAGCTAAGGTGTAGAAACGGCAAAAATGTCAGGTACTTTACAAAGACTGGATAAAAAAACGATTTAATGACGTTAAAATGACTGCATAATTGAACTAAAGAGTATATTTGAGTAGCCACCAGAAAACATTAAAAGAAAGAATGTTTGCTTTATTATCTGACAGGTCCATAGTTTTCAGTCAGTTTGGTATTGGTCATTATTGGACTTTGAGATACTTACCCTTTTTCCAGGTGGGCCAGATGGACCTGGCTCTCCAGTCGGTCCTGGTGATCCCTGATAGAACATAAAACAGGTTGTTACCAAATGTGATTTTTTTTTCTTTTAATGGAAACATAAAATTATAGTATTTATACTCACTGGCTGTCCAGATTCACCATCATCTCCTTTGTCACCAGGAGGTCCATCTTGACCCTAAAGTTCAGAGATGAGGAAATATTTAAAAAAAAATAGTTTTAAAAATGATTTACAGTACATGGCCTTTACTCTCTCTCCACATATTGTTACACCAGTTGATTAATATATTCTCTTCTATCTGAAAACATGGTAATTGTGTGCAGTTGTCTAGTGTGGAGAGTACTTACAGAAGGACCATGTTCACCAGGGGGGCCAGGGTCTCCAGGAAATCCAACAGGACCCTGAAAAGCAGTAAGAGAAGCATGTTACCAATGTACAAATGCAGCTTGATCAGTAGATCAAACAAGAGAAGATCATGAACTTTGTATACTTACAGGGCTACCTTTAGGACCATCATCCCCAGGAGGTCCTTTTGGACCAGCTGGACCAGCTGTTCCTTGAAGACCTGCTTCTCCTTTTTCCCCTCTTTCGCCTTTTGGGCCCTGTAAAATGAAAAACCCACAAAGTCAGTTAATAAGTCTGTGATACTTACAAGCTTTCTGTACAAGGCTTGGACTTTAATAATCACGCTACATTCCTATCCTTACCTATAGTTATGAACTTTAGGCAATAAACAACAACTAAGGTCAAAAAGTGGAAATAGGGTTTCTCCTTAGGATTTCTGGACTTAGTCTGGAAGTGGTTTGGGCATCTTATACAGATGCTGACTTGGATTCTGTCACAGGAGCTGTGCAAGATATTTCTATCTGAAAAGAGGCCCTAAGCAGAGTGAAAGAATGCTGGTAGGATGATATCTCCAACTAGCATGGAAAGTCTTGGAGTCTCTGAGGAAAACCTGGACTATCTGTTTAGACTAAAGAAAATCTATACTAAGCCCTACAACCCCTAAATCATCTGCAAACGGATGCACAGAAGGAATTACATCAACGTGACATGTGTTCACTGTATTAGAATATGGTAAGACAATATATAACTGTTTTTTTTTTTAAATAGGTCTGCTCTTCTTCCCCTGTAAAAATCCAGTGAGATGTCTTTACTTACTGGTGGTCCAAGCTCTCCCGGAAGACCAGGTTCACCAGACTCTCCAGGGTCACCCTGTAAACACAAGCAGAGTTAGTATCTGTAAAATTAATTTTCACTAAGCTTTGCAAATGTTTACAAACATTGCCTACCTTCTCTCCAGAAGACCCAGGATTTCCAACTCCTCCTGGAGGACCTTGTGGGCCATCAGCTCCTGCTGAACCACTGGGCCCTCTTGGACCAGGTGGACCTGGTGGTCCCTGTAAGCAGAGATGGCAAATAGTTGAGATGATGGTAATAAAATACACAAAATGAATATTACCGAAAGAGTCTAGAATAATATGCATACAATAATCAAATATTGGGACCTGGGTGTGGCCATTCCTCTTCTGCAAGTAACATCTAAACAGGTATAATTCATATCTCAGTTACAATGATGCAATGATGGGGGCAAACATGAATACAGCACCCCTTCTAATGTCCATCAAGTTTGGAAAGCACTTTCAACTGAAACACTTCCCTGCAGCAGAGCACTGGCCCAACCTCTACTGCATCTTGTCATTGTCACCAGCTATCATAGCAATGAGACACTGGAAAGGTGTACTGTAAGAGGGAGAGGGTGCAGGCCAGGTCTCAAGACACTGGGTAAGTGTGGAAATTTACATAGCAGAATCCCCAGGTTCTCAAATAAAACTGAAGAGGAATGGCCTGCATTTAGGTTTTGTGGTTAGTATGTGAAGATAAGGGATCTGACAGGTGTTATAGGAGGAATAAGCCAACCTTCATGAATGATATAGAAGTATATGACATTTCTTAGGACTGGTTTCCTGATCATGACAACAGTGGATTATGCTTGCACAATGTGTCTGCATGGCCACTTGTAGTTTTCACCAGGGGTGCATGTGGCAAGATGGCAACTCATTTTGTAACAACTGTCTCCCAGTTGTGCTTCTAACAGGAAGTGCCTGAACAAGAACATTCAGGATCACCAGGTATTATTTAAATAAAACTGTGCATTCAAAAAGTTGAACATTTGGGAAATGGCCGTAACATGTTAAAATGTATATGAAATTTACGTAATTGGAGATCTACTTTAAAAGAGAGCACAGCAGAAGTTGTTAGCTTTCAGACTGTCACTCCCCAATTAGGGATTGATGTGTGTGTAATCTGAGCTTTCACTATCCAGCTCTATAAACAGACTTTTTCAGCAAAGCAGTTAAGGTTAGCCTGGAAAGCCAGTGCTAGCTGGAAGTGTAAATCTGATGTGTTTATGTATTCAGTTTACAGGGAAACTATAATCATTTAAGTTCAGTTTTGTTTAAGCTTCTAAGTTTTAAAAAAAATGATGTTTTGTATATCTTCTAAATTATATTTCTTTCCTGTTCATTGAAGAAAACAGCGGAGATCATGAATCTCTGACCACTGGGTTATAGTGGCACCTTCAGTAGGATACTAGGCACAAAAAACAAAAAGCACAGCCTGCTGGGGGCCAAACCCCCCCAACTGCAAGCTCAGTTTTTAGCCTAGTTTTAAGGAGTAAGAATTTAAACTCCTTGCTGGGAATCTTAGTTCCCTTTTCTTTTGCAGGGTATGTGTTTCTTTTACTCTTTTTCAGTCTTCAGGACCTCCCAATCAACAGCTAAGCTGGGTGACAGGCTGGATAATATAGATACTTCTAGTGCCCCAGCTTAGCCATGGAGCGCATGCAGATCCTCAGCTACATGCAGGGTCAGATTTGATCATTCTAAAGGGACAGCCTTGCACATGGGGCCTATGGCAGCTTTTGTAGGGCTCACATACCTGCTAGTGTTATGGTGTTTTTTTTGCCCTCCCACAGGTACGAGAACCACATGGTCTGACAACCTGAAAAGTGAGGTCACGGCTTTGATGCTTGCTGGTGCCAGAAGCCTTAGCCGCCATGTTTATATTGGGCTTCTGCCCTGGTGTGACATCACTCCAGAGACATCACTTCAGCCAGCACTCTGCTGGTTCTTGGGTTGGGTGCGGGGGGATCATGCACCATAATATGGTACCAAAATGGCGTGTCCCTCCCTCCGGTGCCCGCATCCTGCAGTCGGGGTGTGCACTACTTGAAGCTGCAGTTTGCAGCCTACTGGAGCCAAAAGCCACAACCTCCATGTTTATTTTGGGCTTCTGCCCTTTTGTTGTGCCGTCTGCCTATGCATCCTGCAGTTCTCTAGGCACACAGGGCAGAGGATCCCTCATGCCTAATGTGTTTTGATAAGGCAGAAGCAGTGAATGCTCCCTGCCTCATGTGTGTGTGTTCATCAGGGTAAGGCAATGTAAGCCTAATGGGTGTTCATGAGGGAAAGCTCCTGTGGCTTGAAAATGTTTATACCTTACTATGTGGGGTTGGCATGATTTTGTGGACCCTGTTCCTTGAGCGATTTAGTGCATGTTTTCTTCACCAGGTGGTGCCTAGATCCTATCCCATATGTGCACCACCACAGTATCCATGTCTGCTCTGTTTGCAGCATGTTGGCTTCCTAGCCTTGCATGCTGGGGCCTTGTCTGAGGTGGAGTCTGTTATGCCTCTTACGAAGTCGCAAGATTGTCCAGAACATGCTTGTTCCCACGCTTATATCAGGCTATGTCAACTATTTGCCTGCAGTTGCTTTGTTAAACGGAAGATCACTCTGTGGCTTTTGACTGTACCTAACCTGGTTTGGACTGGTTAGGGATTTTAAGATGCTGTACCTTTTGGTGCAAATCTCCATTTCTACCTTTTTCAGGGATTGGAGGGTCTCAACCAAGTGCATTGTGACCTTGTGCTTTTTTTGAGGATCGAACTTCTTACAGTGGACTTCCCCTGCACTGGATCTTGCAGTGTCCTGCCCTGTTAGATTTTTCTGCCTTTTTTGCGGAGGATGCTCTTGTGTTTTGGAATCCAGCTCAAGACCTGCTGTGTGGTTAGGTTTCTTTCGTTTTGTATGGTGCATTCCTTCATTCCTGTGGTGGACTGCAAAAAAAGCTGGCAAAAACATTTTCATTGTGGGACATGGTCTTTTTTGAGCAGGCCTAGACACCTCATCGGGTGTTGCTGGGGGTGGGGGTTTTCCTCTTCCCCAGCAATAGAAGACAAGTACTCTGACAAGTAAGGCTCATTTCCCTCAGTGGCCCAGAAGTGTTTCTTCTGTTACTCACAGGCCTCCATTCTTAAGCCAGCCCCAGCCTGACCACAGTCCATTCACAAGGTCTGGACTTCTAAGTGGCACCCCCATTTTCCAAGCGATGGGATGTCTGTTAGTCCTTGCAAATTTGTGGGCAACCAGCATCTCTGTTGGGTCCCGAGGAATTGAGGCATCTCAGAATCTTTGATACCACTAAGCTCTAGCTCAACAGTTTTCTGTCTGCTAGGTCTGCCATCTCTCATTTTGGGCATGTTTCATTTGGTGTGGGTCTAGAGACTTTCTCCTCTGGATTTCCTCAGTGGGACTAATCCTGGCCTCTCTTATGCAGATGGGTCTGGGACTGCAGTTGACTCTAACTCGTTCTAGTGGCTGGTCTGTGCTTTTGCGCTCTGTCTTCTGCGTCTGCCAGCTTTCTGCTTTTTAAATCATTGCACAAAAAGTGTCTTTTAAGTGACTCCCTTTACTCTGCACCATCTGAAATTGGTAATTTCCATTCTCTGATCACGTCCTGTGCATCACACAGGGGTTTTCCTCTTTCTTTCACAGGTTGTGTTGCCTTTGAATGTGGGTTCATGGTAGGTGCACATCTGTTGTTGGGATCTTGAGCACATGGAAACATTTCATTTGTTTATAGGAATCACTGTCCATCTTTAGAGCTGCTGACCATGTCCTTTTTTCTGTCAGTTTTCTCTGGTTGCACTGCACCAGTGGAGATCTCGTGGACCACAGTACCATTTACAGTATGTTTGGCGTGGGCCCTTGCGTTTGTTGGGGGAACCCTACTGTGTCTTGCTGCCTAGGAAGGGTTGCTCCCACCCCTCGTTAGACAGAGCTTTGGTACGTCCCAATGGTCAGAGATTCAAGATCTCGGCTGTGTGCTTCATTGAACAGAAGAAAAAATTGAATTTTTTTCCACTCACTGTAAAATCCATTTCTCTGAATTCATTGAAGGACACAGCACCCAACCCTCTGGTTGTCATGCCTGTGGAAAGTTATCATCTTATGCATTGCTTTGTGACTGAGCTGCTTCTTGCATTTGGGGGTTTTGGCCACCAACAGGGGCTGCCCCTAGGCTGTACCTTTTGTTTTTTGTGCCTAGTGTCCTACTACTGAAGGTGACACTAAAACCCAATGGTCAGATATTCAAGATCTCTACTGTGTCCTTCAATGATCATAGGAAAAGGATTTTACAGCGAGTACAAAAAAATCCTATTGTTTCATGAAAGAAAATATAGGGAAAAGTAACTGCTGTGAGACAGCTCATTGATTTTTGTAAACAGCAAGCTTCTTTCAGCACAGCTGAGTGTGATATAATGTTAACAATGTGAAAAGCAGAAGAGTGAAGAGTTCCACTTGCTGGCCAGATAGAAGACCACATGATATTAATATGCAATTTATTTGCCTTTAGTGTCTGCAACTGAGATTGGAAAATGCAAATTTCTGATTTATCTCACAGATTTTACATGCACAGGATGTTTTCAGTGTTGTGTAAATCCCCCGTCAGCACAGATATTTCTAATTTTCTGTGTGTTTGAAATATTCAGATCCAATAAGCTGGAAATCAGGGATTTATTAACGTTCTCCTTTCATCAGATACATAATGTTAGATGTTTCCTTTGTCTTGCTGTTAGTGCACGGTGTGTGCTATACGAGGGATCAATCAGACTATGAGCAATTACAAAACTGTAATGTTTGATGTATTCCAGCACTGCAGTGTCTCTGCAGAGTTACGGTGCCGAGCTGGGGGATTTGTTTGATTCTGATGGAGAAGTAAACAAACGATTCCTCAGTTGTGTTATTATGGGTCAGGTACAAAACAGAAGAAAGGTTTTGTGTTGTGTTTTTTTTATCATAAGTAATGAGAAAATCAGAATAATCCCTAGAATTGCACAATAACAGCCGCATGTTATTATCTGTACACAGCTACGTATTGCTGCACTAGCAACTCACCATCTGACCAACATCACCTGTCTCTCCCTTCTCACCTGGAGGTCCGGGTAAACCCTGTGGCAAACACAAACATACATGGGGGTCAGTTGCTTTGCCTGTTCATAGACCAAATACACAGAACATGTTTCCGTAGCATTAATAAACTGCTGGCCTGCAGAAATGTCACTTCATTTATATAATGCAAATATAGTATATGTTTTCAGAGAACCGTAATCCATAATAGTCCCTGTTTTACATCACAATTTAATTTCCTCCATACGAACCCTATGCAGACAGAGCCCTGCAGGAACTGAAACCAACAACCCAGTTCTCTAAGCCCTCGTTCACACCTGAACGTTTTCTACGCTCGACGAACGCTCTACAAAACGCTCAAAAATATAAATCCCATTGTATTCAATGGTCTCGTTCCCACCTTGGCGTATTTCCGCCCGTCCCTAAGGCACTACAAAACGGCCCACGCCTGAAAAGGTTCAGGTACTACTTTGGGCCGTTTTGTTGCGCGTTTCCATTGGGATACAGCCAAGTAGCCTTCGGAAACGCGCGACAGACGCGCATATGCAATACGCCTAGGTGTGAACGAGACCTAATGCTACAGTGCCAATGACTGTTTCATATTGTCTCCATTTATGGAACTGGAATGGCAGTTACAATGTTGTGGTTTAGGTGGATGATTCTGATCACATGACCGCAAATCAGGATCTATGTGGCTTAACTGTAACAGACATATTCAAGGTCATTTTTATAATATAAACTAAAGATAAACTAAAAAAGCAGCAACAGTGTCCTAAAATGATAGCAAATCATCTTGTGGAATCAAATCTACAGAAGCTGGCTACAGGGGTGCAAAATATGTTACGGTTTACTAGGCCCATAAAGCCAAGGGGCCCAGCCAGGAGTGGAATGCCCAGTTTTGTGCACACATTACAATCTGGGTGGATAAAAGCTGCATTTGTCCTTCAGATTTCTCCTTTTCCCTTCTATTATTGTTAAGACCTCTAATACGCTTATAAGGATTGAAAAAGATACCTCAGGGCTAAATTAAACAGGCAAAGATTTCTGTACCAGGTGTCAGGGGACTTCATTTAAAAGTTTGCCCAGACTCTGCAACCTTTAGTTACTCTCCTGTATACAAGTAAATAATCGCTGATAATTGATGGAAAATAAAATCATTTTGCAGTTGAACATAAGAAGCAGAAATACTTAGGCTTCTGGCTGTAGGTTTCACTTATTAATGGATACACATCTCTTATAGTTTGCAACCTCTTCAAATATTTTAAAGGGACAATTTGATCTAACTGAACAACAATTCCAGTGTCTTTGTTTTGCATTTGAAATACTTCTCTTTAGTAAAGGATAACACAAAGAAAAAAACTAAAAACAAGTTAGATGTTAATAATTAAAGGCACTTTGCACACGGTTTGTCAGTATTCACAGCAAGGGACATTTGCAGCCTCCAGCCCTTGAATCCTTCCTTGGAAATCAGAAATGTTTGGCCACTGTATCTATAACTGTCCTGCAGGCTGAGGAAGAAAAGGCAGACAGGCAGGAAATATATAGAGGAAGCTGCTTATTGGAGCAGAGATTAGACATTAAAGATTCATGGAACCTTGTCATAATTTATTTTCCTCTACGGTAATCAGACATCATGGAGGTTACAATGCAATTCAGCCTCCTGTGTAATTAAAGCTCATAAAGATCTGTTAATTGATGATCAGCATTGTTAGGCCTGTGTAGTCAGCATAAACATTTTCTGTGGAATCAGTAAGACATTGCAAAGCCTTAACGCTGCCATAAACTGCTGAGAGTGCCAAGGTGGGTTTCTCTGCAGCTTGTCCTAGTTGTACTTAATGAATATCGCTATGTGGTAATGATATGAAACTCCTGCCCTGTGAAGATTAGTCTAATTGCTTCTTCGAAAAAGTATTTTCCAAAACTTTGTATCATAATCACCTGTAGCCCGACAGGGCCTGGTGGTCCAGGGAAACCTCTGGGGCCTTCGTCACCTTTCTGACCAAACAAGCCTTGCTGTCCTCGGGGCCCAGGCTCTCCATCTGCTCCCTGGAAGAGAATTAAAACCCAGGATTTATGACTTTGGAATCCGCAGACAGCATCAACAGATGATCTAGGGATTGGATTGTACTCACTGATGGACCAGGCTGACCAATAGGTCCCTGAGGTCCTGCAGGTCCAGGTGGTCCCTATGGAAAAACATTTTAGGTTATCCAATTTGTTATTTTACAGAAAACAATGTATAACAGCAGACAGACCAGAACAGTTACCTGCTCTCCTTTGTCAGCCTTGTTTCCCTTCTGTCCAGGCTCTCCAATTTCACCCTGGAACAAAGAAACCACAAACCATGTTCACACTATACAATCTGAGCTGCCTAGTCTGAGTGCTATAATCTTACAACTGATATTTTAGAACAGCACTGTCTTAGTTAAATCAGAACATTTGAAATTAAACTAAAAGCAAATGTGATCACAAAGGTTTTGATCAAGTTAATTAACTTTAACTTAATGATGGCATGACAAGTGAATCATGGAAATCCCACATGATCCTTTGGTTTAATTAGTACAGTAGTTCTCTATGAAAACCAGTCATTCTGGGCCTGGGACCTTTAAGTACAGAACAATACCTGCTGATCTGCCAGAAATGCACTCCACTCTTAGGTCCTGTTGTGGTCTGGCAACACACAGCATTTTTGTGGACTGAATGGTGTCAGCCCTGCCCAGTTGTCTTTTGCTAAATTATGCAAACCTGTCTGCAACATACAAATATGGACACATTTGCTGGCATTCTTACAGCTCATCGAAACAATGTTTCAGTCCTCTAAAAAAGTGATGAAAATAAAATCAACTGTCTCATGTATACTTGCATGCCCTTGGTACATTACAGAGTAAAGCAAAGAAAGTGTGAAAGGAGATATACATTATTGCTTCTTCCACAAAGATATTCTAAAATGGCCTGGGCAGATTTGTTGGTACCCCTAGAAAAGATTATAAATAACAGGATCATAGTGATATTTCATGCTGTTTTCTTTTAATATCACACATGTTCAATTGCGTTATGAGTTTGTCAGCCTATTTAAAAGTAGAAAGGTCACTCTTGGTATCATCAAGTGCTCCACACTGAACACAGACCAAAGAACGCAAAGAAGAGAGTTGTCTGAGGCGATTACAAACAAAATTATAGATCTGCACATTAAAGGCTATGGACCATCTTCAAGCGGTTTGATGTTCCTGTGACTACAGTTGCAGATATTATAAAGAAGTTTAAGATCCCAGGGAGTGTAGCCAACCTCCCTGGACATGGCCGCAAGAGGAACATTTACTCCAGATTGAGTAGGACAGTGAAGGAATGGTAGACAAAGACCCAAGGAAAACTTCCAAAGAGATACAAGCTTAACTAGTGTCTAATTGTGCCATAAGTCATTTTTCGAGTCACAGTAGACTCACGAAGGACTCCATTTTTTAAAGAAAAACATAAAAAAGCCAGATTGGAATTTGCACATTAACAAGCCAAAATGCTTCTTGGAGAATGCCCTTTGGACAGCTAAGACAAAACTGAAACTTCTGGCAAGTCACATCAGCTCTATGTTCGCAGATGAAATAATGAAGCTTTCAAAGAAATGAACATGGGACTTTCTGTGAAAGCCAGGCCCAATTATGTTTTAGGGCTGGTTTGCTGCGTTTGGCACAATCTGCGCAGGACACAATACGTTCTCAAGATTCTGCAATGAGACATTCTGCCATGCTTCAGAAAGGTCACAGGTCATGGATCCACCAACAGGATAATGACTCAAAACTCACACCTAAAAGCACCCAAGAATGGCTAAGAACAAAATATTGAATTATTCTGAAGTAACTTTCTATGAGCCCTGATCTGAATCCTATAGAACATCTGTGCAAAGAGCTGAAACATGCAGTGTGGAGAAGGCACACTTCAAATATGAGACAGCTGGAGCAGTTCACTCAAAAAGAGTGGCCCAAACTACTTGTTGGCAGGTACAGAAATCTCATTAATAATTACAGAAATCACTTGTTTGCAGTTTTTGCCTCTATAAGGTTTGGCAGCTAAATATTAGGTTAAGAACCCATAATTTTTGTCCATGCCATTTTTATTTGTTGTATTATTTAAAATATTCAGCTGCATCAAAAATATTAAATATGGAATAAACAATGATGCATGCCAATTACTTTTGTCAGTTTCAAGTTATTTCAGAGTAAATTGAGGGTTCTTCTTTTTACCTGGAAGGGTACCAACAAATGTATTCATGTCTGTAGACACTAATTATTTTGTAGTCCAAGATAAGAACTGGGAGGGCTAACTAGACTCTTTGAGATATTGCAGGAAATGTGCACAGGATAGCTCTGAGTTTCTGATATAATCAGGTATGTTTTTGCTCTTATTGAGCAGATATAACAAAGCACAGTCAATTATATAGTTAACAGACTAAAGGTTTGCGGTTGTTTTTTACACTTTATCTATTGGCTTTTACCACATCCCTTCCCCAATCAGCTGCCATTGGTTACACAGAAAACCTGCTCCAGAAGTGTTTTCATCTGTCTATTTACCTTATCTCCATCTTCTCCTGGAGGACCAACTGGTCCAGCTGGGCCTGGGAGACCAACAGGACCTTGGATACCATCACGTCCGGCCGGCCCCTGAGGACCCTTTTCTCCCTGAAGTTACAAGAGACAAGTTTGAGGAAATCACACACTAACCATAGGGAGAGGAAACTGTTACATCAACAAAACAAACATTATAACAGTTACACGGGGTCTTGTGTGGGACAACAAAGCCCAGGCTGGTAAACATATTCACTTATATGATTTCCTATGGCATGTTATGTGTTTGACCTATGACCTGATATAAATCATAACAGACATTTCCACTGTGTTGAGATCCATCCAGCGACAACATATGAATGTGGTAATTCAGCAGCTTATAATGCTTGAAACAGACATTTTGTTTTCTCTATAAATTACAATTACAATGGACATGCGAAACTTAAAAATATTTTCCTGACTTGAAATCTGAACTGCTCATTATCACTAATGAAGTAAAGAGCCTGTTAGTGGCCGTTGCGTGCTGAACTGTTTAAGCTGTGAGCAGTGCGCCGCTGAATATCTCTGCCACATTATGAATCCTGTGAGCCAACCGTAAACGACTATAAATAAAACAAATGGCTCTTTTCATCTGACATGAAGTGTAGTTTGTGAACTCCCCGCAGCCAGAGCCCTTATGAAGTTGTTTTCCTGGCCTCAGGTCTGCCATCTTTTAATATGCCAACGCAAGCGAAAAAACCCAGCAATGAAAAGGGTCCCTTTAATAACCAGAATCAATCAACATTAATGTCCCGATTGGGCTGGTATTCGCTGCTGTCCTGCCAGAATGCAGTACGCATCATGCAGGTTTCAAAATGTTTCCTTCACAGCGCTTTATGCTGCACAGCTTCATCGGGTCCTGCTGCCGACACTCAGGGGCCAGTAATGCCTTCTTTGAAATCACAACATATCATCTGGTTTGCTTTTGATAGGATTCAGAGTTCAGGTCACACAGTGAAGGGAGTGAAGCCTGGACCAATTAATGATGCCTGTTTTATCTCCACATTGCTGCCCCCTCCACCAAACCTGACTAATGTCAGATTACACCAGGGAGACTGATAAAAAGAAGATGAAATGTGCATGTATCATTAATCTGTTAGCAAAAGAGATGCATGCATGGCCAGCTGCCAGTCCCAGCACCAAGGACTAGAGTTCCTGCCTGGACTTAGACAAGTAACACTTTTTTACAACAGATCAAAAAAGAAATGTTGTGATTACCCGCGCTTCTATGTATTTCTCATTGTTGGCTCGTTAAATCGATTCTCCATGCAATCCCCACCCACCCAGCCACATTCTGTACAAAGCAGGGGTCCCTAAATGGTGGACTGCACGGTTCTGTCTGGACCGTGATTGCCACCTGCAATGGGTTATAACCCAATGCAGGCCCCCTTACTTCTGTCATTGGTTGCTAGGACTGTTGGAGTCCGCAGGGCCAGCTTGCAAACTACAACTGATCTGTACTAGCCTGCGATCATGCTGCCCCCTCTCCGCATCCCCCACTGTGGTTTTCCAGGTCCCCTGCTCCCCTGGAGAGCCCAGGACTATGGCAGAGGGTGTCAGGATGGAGAGTGGAAAACGCGCGCTCCCCAATCTGCTCTGTGCTGAATGACGCTCTCAGCAAGTATGTATTGGAGGGCAGAGGAGACATCAGGAGTCTAATAGACGCATCAGGAGTCTAATAGTCTTATAGACCCCTGATGTCTCCATAAAGAGAACCTGTCACCAACGCTTTGATAGCAAAAAAAATGTTTTAAAACAGTAATAAAAAAGCAAAGAATAATGAAATAAAAATAAAAAAAAATAGAAAGGGTAAAAAAAATTTTTAAATCAACCCGGCCGCCCCCGCCGTCTGATTCAAACGAACACATGCACATGTATGTAAACATGGGGGAGTTGTAAAAAAACAGTGAGATGCACGAGGATTGGCGCATCAGCACCGTGCCTTAGAACACACACCAGCAGCTGTGCTTTGTAGTATGGGCATGGGCTGAGAGATCGTGATTCGGACCTCTGCTCATTGAACATTTTACTCACTGGACCTCCTTGAATTTTAATGCACTGCCCCTGGTACTAACTAAAAAAATGATTACATGCATTTATAAATGTTTCTAGCATAATTATCTGAATCTACTTTTACATAAAGTCTAGAAAACATTTGCATATAAATCTCTGAGAGGAACGGCACCACACCCCATTTGTAACATGTAAAATGTTGAAATTGTGAACCACTCCAACAATTAAAAGGCTGCAATTGATGTTGAAGTCCTACGGGACAAGTGTCCATTATTTCTTTATTCCAGTCTTCATTATTTCTTTATTCTAGTTTTCATTTCTCTGGAGTGGTATTTGGAGATTTTATGTATATACACTCTATTTGAAGTTTTTTCATTATATCAATCATGTTTTTAATGCAATCTTTTTTACATTTACATAAAACCTCCCACCTTCTCCTGAACTTCCAAGTCCTGCACTATTGCATTGTATCATGTTACCATCCTAACATGTTTCAGACACTTGGAGCTGGACGGGGACATTTTCTTGTAGTTTACATAAGTGAGAGGGCACAGGGAGGTGACCCCACCACTGAGGTAATACTCATTCCTAGGTCAGTGAACAGGCTTTTTAAACTGTGATGTCATCTTCTAGCTATACAACATGGCATTAAATGTTAAAAACAAAAATACATTCAAATGTTAACTCACTGCAATAAACTTCCCCAGAGCTCTCTATTATTTTCATATTACAGGGTTTCTCCAAGAAATCTATTTTCATTACACTGCCCTGGGTAAATGGCTTGGAGTCATTTCCTCAGATTGACAGTTATTAAGGCGAATATTTATATATATATATATGTGTTGTGCCTAAATGTGGGTTTCAAACATGGCTACCAAAGGCACCTCATTCCAAGCCATGTGAAACCCTACCTTTCCTGGACATGAGCTCCCGTCTGCACTGAAGACTGCAGGGAAGGTGGCCCTGCCAAAATACATCATCAAGTTAATCATCTTTATCACTACATTCCATACCTAAGAGAACTATGGGGAAAAACACTTACCACATAGTTCTCTTTTAAGGGTCACGGGAGGACATATACTAACCTTCTCCCGTGACCCAAAGCTCAGTATATCGCGAGCTACAGCTCGCGGTATATTGAGAATGCCGCAGGCCAGGACGGATCCTGACATTACTGTCGAGATCCAACCAGCTACATGAGTGACAGCGGGCTCTGCCTATCTAGAGGCAGAGCCAGCTGTGCCCACCCTCGTCCGTTCCTCTAGTCAGCGCTGAAGGATCAGAGTGGGGAGGAAGGGGAATCCCTGCGGAGAGCGGTGACTGACAGACAGTCACTGCTCTCTGCAGGGATGTGATCGAGAAGTGAGCGAGCAAAGGTATGTGTTTGCTCACTTCCCGATCTATTGAGCCAACGTGTGACAGTTTAATTGCCACCCGTCGGCTCAAACTATGAGGATGAGTGATTGATATTCACTCACCTCATAGTTCTCCTTTAAGGCTCCCAAAATATATCCTTACAAACAATACAATTGATATTGGCAGCTCAGTTACAATTATTGGTAGACTTACAACCTGAATCCTACAGTACTTCAAATCCTGTGTTATTTAATAAAATATAAAGCTCCTTTAAGACGGCTCTAAAACTGCTCAAAGGTTTGGACACAGTTACTGGATAAAGCCAAATGCAATATATATATATATATTCACAGTATATGTAGATGTACTTACTGGAGCCCCTTTTTCACCAGCTGGTCCAGGTGGTCCTTGTGGGCCGGGTCTTCCTGGCAACCCAATGGGGCCAGCAGGTCCTGCAGCTCCTCTTTCTCCAGGAGATCCCTAAAGCATAAACATTGTTCATATCAGGACAGTGATAAACTTCCAGGAATAATATGTCTGACCACATCTGAACTCATTACATATATATGTCTGTGTATGTGAGATATTTCTTACAAAATCATACTGACAATATTTCATGACTGATGAGGCATGTAAAGTGTCTCATGTGGTACTCTAAGGGCCATTAATTAAATCTGCATGGGATAGGAGAATGTACAGTGCACTCAACAACGCATACTATGAGTGTACAAACTCCATACAGAACTGTGCTTTGTTTTCTACATACTATGGTGCCTGTAGTCTAAAGAAAAGAGCCACATAGGTTTATGCACTGAGTGGCCAGATTATTATGACCACCTGACGTTTGTAGGCAAATTAGCTATAATTTCGCACTGAAGTTGCTAGAGGGCCAGACCATTATAAATAGGGAAGCAGGTTGTTTACCACGACAGTAGAAGTGATATTTTTATGAAGATATGGGTAAACAACGCGATTTAACAGCCTTTGAACGTGGGATGATTGTTGGCGCGAGCCATGGTGCGAGTATCAGCAAAACAGCAGAATGAGTTAAATGTTCAAGAGGGGCTCATTGTTAAAGTGTTTAAAGACTGGACTGTCAGCCGAAAATATGGGTCTGAACGTGCGAATTGTGGCCGTCAGCGGCTAGTCCATGTTAGGGCAGAACGGAGAGTGGCAAGACTGGTACAAGACAACAGAAGGGCAACAGTGCAGTGTCAGATTCCTCGCATCACTTTCAACATCTCGAGTCACGAGGCGGGCACTCGAAGTCATCTCGTGGCCCAACGAAGTACTGATGGGGTGGTCATAATAATCTGTCCACTCAGTGTATAACCATCACTTTTTTTACTTTTCGTTTGTGACTTAGAACTTTAGCTTAACTGTGTTAAAATTCATATTTTGTGAATTTTATCTAGAGAGCTGACCAAAACCTGTTCCTGTGGATGATTAGCATTTTCACATCTCTTATGGAAAAGAATACTTTCCATCTGCAGAGGTTAACATTATGGGGTTAAATTATGTGTGTTGCCACAACACAAAGGTGTGAAGCCACCCTCAGCAAGTGAGGGAAGAGCTTAGCGATTAGCAGTATATGTGGCCTCGGACGGGGCTGCCAGTGGACATCACCAATGCCCCTGCTTTTCACCTGGGCCATCAACTTAGCAAATAAGTTGAAGCTTTGAATGCCCAATCATGTGCAAGCTGGAAAAAAAAAAGGAATTTAGGTTCCACAAGAAGTGAACACAGCTTCACTTTATTTGCGAACTCCATTGATATAATTTTTTTTTTTTGCCATCACACTTTATTTTTTGATTGTGACTTAGTAGTTTTTCTACACTGTGCAGTGTGTTACAGTTGATCCTTAAGGCAATCAGACTCTCCCTCTATACACAATGTTTTTAATAAATAATTATAACCACTTCTATTTTGTGCATTTAGAAACTCAGTTTACTTTGCAAAGTAAACATATACTTTTCAAACTGAACAGCCTCTACTTCTTTTGTAAGAACCGCTGTGCATCCATCTAGAGCAGTGGTTCTCAACCTTTCTAGGGCCGGGACCCCTTGGTAACATTTGCCAAGTTGTGGTGACCCCCAACGGTAAAATTTAGGCTTGACGCGGCTGCTGCAGCGACATCTGGCGGCGTGGCGGGAGAACTGACACTGCTGCGCTAGGAGAAGGCTGAGGAGGACTCTCACCGAGCACAGCAGAAATCACACAGCGACCCACAGGTTGAGAACCACTGTTGTAACAGCTAAAATGGCAAACCATATAACACAAGCCTAGGGTGTCAGCTTTTATTATTAATAATAATGATGATGATAATCTAATAGCTATCTAATAGTGGGAGACTCCCGGCGACCCCTGGCAAATTGTCATTCGACCCCCGAAGGGGTCCCGACCCACAGGTTGAGAACCGCTGCTCTAGAGTCTATACTTTTTTTTTTTTTTAAATACAAGAAAGTATCTTGCTTGCTTTAGTAATGCAGCTTTGTAATCATTAATACATCAGTTAATGTATTTTTTAAATGCAAGCAGTGCGAGTACTTATATTTGACCTGGCATCAAACTTTTTCAGTCTCTGTAAAGCAGAGCTCAGAGAGAGTGGGGGGGAAACAACACAAGGAGCCAATCGATTATGCTGACAAGGAGCATACTAATGGGAAGAGAAAGTAGAGTGATGAGCTCATCATTGTACTTGCTTTTCTGTTCACTGTCCAGTCAAAGGCTGAAGCTGGTCCAGGAGGACCTGGGCTCAGAGGATGGGGTTGAATAATGCTGGTAATCAGCTGTGACAGATATAAAGTACTGCAAGGGAAATCTCTGGATTTCAGGTAAATGAAGCAACAAAAGCTGGTTTTGTTTATCTTTTACTGGGCTATTAATTTTTATATATAGTTCTGCTTCCAACATAACACTATGGCTACAATTAAAGCATCGGTTTCGGTGTAAATCCTGCACAAAACTGACACTGTGGCTCTTATAAAGAGTGAAAAATGCAGGCAAGCCATTTGATTTCCCTCAGCTTACAAAGAAAGAGCATGTTTCTCAGAATGCATTTGTTAGTGTATGGTAAAGGATATCTCCTCATAAATCCCCATTTTTTACCTGTGAATTCATTTATCTGCAATACAAATCAGTTACATCTTTTGTTTTTACACTTCAGTAAACTCCAAGGCGCTGGAAAGACTACTGATAATGTTATAATGTGCTATCCATGGATTGCCAATAATTGTCTATGCAACCCGTTGCTTAATGTATCAAATCTGTGAAATAAATCTCTGAAGCATTCCCAATAAATTGCCTATACAGTATATATGAATGATAAATACTTACAGCAGGGCCAGGAGGTCCTGGGGGTCCTTCACTGCCTTTCAGTCCAGGAGAACCCTGTACAAAATAAATTATTAGCATTACAGATAGAATGAGATTAACAATTCAGATATAACAAGCTTTTGACTAAGGGCTCTTAAGAGTGCATTTCTACTTAATTGTTCTGTAATTACTCCAGAAGATACCTGTAGGGCGCTGTAAAGCTTTCTCGCACAGGGCGCCTAAAGGCCTAAGGCCGGCCCTGCCTGTCAAGTCTAATTTTCTCAAACACCCTAATTTTCTGACCTAAGGACGTCTACATGGTGATATGGCTTATATCAGGATACCAGTGTACTTACAAGTGGGCCAGGAAGACCACGTTCTCCAGTGAATCCTCTTAAACCAGGTGGTCCATCTTTACCAGGCACACCAGCTGGGCCGGGATCTCCCTACAAATCGAAAGACAACAGGTTAGACATGCAGGTGAAAGAAAATACAGCCCTCCTTTTTTTAGGTTTAATTTTAATATGGATTGAGACAGAAATTTATATACTTAATATTTATGTATGTGAATTTGCTGTGTTACACCAAAGTGACAATTTGTAGCATAGAACCTGAAGGTATGTAATTAGTATTAGCCTTATATACAGATTCCTCAAAGTCCATGTATCTCACTTCAGTGAATGATGATTAAAACATGTAAAATGAAATGCACCTGTTTGTTTAAAAATAGGCAATTAAAGTGTGGTTGCATATCATAACCCTGGGCAAATTCTGATAAACACCCTTTCTGGAACAAAAAAAATACTATTTGTGGAGTTTGTGTATGCCTCTCACAGTCAAGACATAATGGGAAGGATTAAAATAAAAAACAAAATTAGGACTTGTGCATAGTCACTCACGTGGAGTGCGGGTGTGAAATAGAAAAATTAAGTTCTGCCCTATGGCAGAATTGGGGGGCTTTTAATGTTCTGTTCCATGTAAACTGTGCTGTCAGTCACAAGGAGGCCAAATACGCTGTTCAACCCATGCAATGATTGAAGGGAAAAAGTGACGATTGGTTAAAATAGGTGATTTCAAAAGGTGCTTATTTTAATATTGTTGTCTGTTTTTTTCACTTAGCCAAATCCTACTTAAGAATCTGATACTCACCTTAGATCCTTCCTTTCCTGCCAGACCAGGTAAACCTTGCTCACCAGGTGGTCCAGGAGGGCCGGGATGACCTCTTTCGCCCATGGGACCAGTCTCTCCAGTAGGACCCTAGAAAGATCCACAAAAGGAAAATCTGTATGTTTTACGGAGAGATAAGAACCACACATCCAATCAGCCAGAGAGGAAGAAATTACGAAGGGAAGCCTTGGGTGCAGTTGCTATGCGGCAATTTAACAATGATCCAATTGCAGCGTTTTGTATACCAGACCGCAGACAGCTATTACTAGAAAATGTTTTCCACAATGACACCTCCCACAGCTTTAAAAATCCAGTTCTCCAACTTTCTTCGAGCTGGGATCAATCAGGTACATTTGAAGCACCAGGTTCTGTAAAGGTGGCCGTACACTGTACAACCATCGCAAGACCTTAGTCTTGCGATGGTTGTAAAGTGATTAAAAAAACGTACGATCTGCCCATCTTGGACAGGCAGATCGTACTCTCGATCATCGCAAGCCTGCCCCCCTGTGGGGCGGGCTTCCGATGACCGCAATGCTGAACGGGCAGTGTGTGCGTGCGCACACCGGCCCGTTCGGCATTTGTCTCCCGAGCACCGTTCAAACCAGGCGAAAATCGTACGATTTTCGACTGGTTTTCTAGCGTGCTCCTTAGACAAAAGACGTGCGACCGTACAGTAGAAACGGTCGCACGTCTCCGTTCACACTGCTCGATTCTCGTACGATTGCGGGATTTCCCACGATTCTCGTACGAGAATCGAGCAGTGTATGGGCACCTTTAGAGGTAACACTGCACTGGATTTCCTCATGCAAATCCACAGAATTATCATTACAACATTTTAAATACAAGCTTACGTTATAATTTTAATTAATCCAGTTAAATTCTTATATTCTAAAAGTGAACACCAACAAAAACTGATGTTTCAGTTCTTCATAATTGCTGGTCAGTCAACTATTTCAATCTTTCCAGTGATGAGATTCCCCCAGCCAGGCTTTACAAAACTCAGTACGGTCACTTTCCTAATGAACACAAAGTACTGCAGAGAAATCTGGCCATTGGGGCGATGGGGGGAACTACCACAGGGGAAATGTCAGTATTGTGATGAGACACAAACTACTGCGGGGAAATATTATCACTGGAGATTGTGACCTACAAGAATCTGGAAGTTATTCAACAAACCAGTTCCTATTAAAAAACATTCAATACATCTGTATTTTCTTTTAAGAAGCAGAACTGACTGACAGAGCTACCTTTAGAGGCAGCAGGTCACATCATATAATAAGCTTCTATCCTATTAGAATGAATTAATTCTGTATCTACTCATTAATATTACAAAGCAAGTCTAGAAACAATTAAAACACAGACACTACGGCATTACATCTGATGGAGTCTAACATGAAGAGACAAAGGAGCTGGCTGCTGATCACATGTTGTCCCCTCTGAACAAACTTCTGTGAAATCACAGCCATGTTTTATCCTTCTACTATCAAAGAGCTGGCAGCTTCCCCTGATTGATTACAGATTCACAAATAAATTACTTACCTGTGGGCCGACAACGCCAGGGGGACCTGGAGGGCCAGTTTTTCCTTGAAAGCCCTGGTGGTAGGAAAAGAAAAGGTGAGTCCAGGCAGAGGAGCAAATAGGACATCGGTTTACCTCACCAGGTCACTGAGGCCCTAGAAAGACACTAAAGTCTGATGTACAGAGCAGAGGCAACAGATTTACAGACGTAATGAAAGAAAGACAGGCAGAGAAACAGAGACATGCTGCATCATGCTTATTAGAAGCCTTTGCTTCCTGCATTTTACCTGATGGGGTTAAGAAATCGCAGTTACACTGGTCCAGTATGCAGCAGCATCAGTGGTCATCTTGGACACATGGGTCAGAGCCATACTTACCGCTAACACTTTGTGGAAGTTGGACATTACCAAACGATTCAGCTGCCAGTACAGCTGTTTTATTTTGATATACATAAATATATGCATATGCTTTCATGCCAACTTCTATAGCACCAGATGAAGGCCAGGTGGTCAGCATGTTCAACATATTCAAGTGTCAGTATACCCAAAACTGATATTTCAGTGTCAGGTGAAAGCTGGAGAGTTAAACCACCTATTTGGTTCATATATCTTTTAGGGAACTGGGGGTGAGATTTCTGGAAACCTGTCAAAGGAAATGCGTCGATGATGTCCTTCAGAAAATGTTAGTTGATTGGCTGTCTCTAGTTCAATACTTTCTGAGAACATGAAAGCGGACATAAAAGTTCAGATCTCAATTTTGTTCCAAGTTACAGGCTTATAGGAATGAGATTAAAATGACTGTCAGAGAATGAGAATTTTCATAAACAAACCTGAACCTACTTATTTCTCTTAGTACAATTTACTTTTAAGATCCCAGGCCCTGCCATAGCTATAGCAAGGGGTCCCACTCTTCCTTTAGGATTCAGAATTCATTTTATATTATGGTGAATACCTTTAAAATGGAAATACCTCAATTTGGTCTGGAACAGAGCCAGAAACTATTGCAGGCAGATTGCATTGCTGGAGTTCTCAAAAGGTATAAGGCCAGGAGGACACTTGCTGGGTTCTTTAACTGTAAGATTTTAGTGAGTGATCTCTTTAGAATTTCACCTAGTAGTGTGAGAACTGGTTAACTGGTGGGTCATTTTCAAACTTCCAGGAATAGTGTTATATACTACACTAAGACTGAAACTGAGTTCTCAAATCAGTAGTTTGCAATATCCAAATAGTAGGGATGCACCGATACGATACTAGTATTGATATCGGTGCCGATACCGAGTATTTGGGTGAGTACTCGTACTCGCCCAAATGCTCCGATACCTACCACGAGTACTTCCTGTATCAGGAAGCCGGGCAGTGCATCATTACACGCTGCCCAGTTTCCTGATTGGCCAGGAAACGGCTCCATGCTCTCTCGTCACTTGTGATGAATCGTCATCTCATGAATCATAATATTAAGAAAGTGACCTTAAAACATTAGTTTGTATTGCTTTAGAAAAAAATTTGACCTGTCCCTTTAAGAAAAAATATCGGTAATTGGTATCTGCGAGTACTTGATCAAAAGTATCGGTACTCGTACTCGCTCTTAAAAAAGTGGTATCGGTGCATCCCTACCAAATAGTTAGAATTACATTTTCGTTTTACCCTTTCCAATCATATTTTACTGTGTAAGTGGCCTATGACTAAGCATGTGTTCCTGACTGCTCAGGTTAAGCAGAAAAAATATGTTTTATTAGAAAACATATTTTTGCCAAGACAGTGAGAAGAGTGGAGAAAGGTGAGAATCGTGACAAACGCAGGTAGGCATACCTTGTTCTACGTCGACACATAGGGCTGCATATGAGCACAAAGACAAGACGAAACCGCACAGCACGGGCACACTGCAGCCACAGCCACCCGGCCAAAGATGTCAATAAAAGATGTTTTGCTCAATTTGCGAGTGCTTAGAAGCCTCAAGCAGCATGTTACAAAAATGACAGCAAATTTCATTTCAATAGCCAATACAAATCTTCCATTGACAGTAGTGCAAGGACACTGTACATTACTGGTATGATGCATGTTATATATATGGTGGTGCAGTATATTGCGTAGTGAGGTTTCCGTTGGAAATCATTCTCCAGAAGGAGGCTGTTCAGTTATTTACAGCTCCCAGTTCAATAACTTCTACAAGTTAGAGCTGAAGTCTGTCTAAACCCTTGACTTGTGCTGGTCTATATCTCTGGATCTACTGATGACAAGTAGTGTCCACAGAAAACAACCTCTGCTTTTGAACTTTTTTCATCAATTGCAATGATCTGTCTTTGTGACAAGTTCATTTTAAGCAGGAAAACCATACATAAGTGCCTTTTTTTTCTCAGAAATTCTAGTTTGCTCAAACAGAAAGTTTACAGAAGCTAGATCTGATGACTCCAAATTACAACAGCTAAATTCACAGGCAAGCCAAGTGATGGTTTGTTCTAATGCTGGAAATTCCATCCACATCGAAATGTTAAATTATAGATTAAATTAATATGACATTGTGCTGGTGCTAACAAATGAAAATACATTGTGATAACTGTGGGGTCACATGTACCTCTCTTTACACCGATATGCGTCCACTTCTACAAACATACTGCACCTCATTTATCAAAGTATCTATTTATCAAAGTATCTAAACCTGGAACTGTCCATCTTGCCTATAGCAACCAATAATGGCCAAACCAGTTTGAACCCGATTAGTGCTGTGGGTCAAGCCAGACAGGTCCTGTCGCTGATACTGTGATAAATTAGATCAATGTTGTCATGGTAAGTTCCAAGCAAGTTTTCACTAAATTCAGCTGCAGACGACACTGCATCTTCTGTTGATGACTGCAGAAATATTATTGCACCAGATACACTAATAACTAATCATGAATGGATATGGCACTCATGAAGCATCATTACTCTGACCCAGCCAGAATAAGCAGGGGGATTGCTTTAGACCCCTCCATATAGCCGAAGAGACACCAACCGAAAGGTAAAAGCATGGCGACATCTCCTCGTCTACAGGGAATGGTTTAGAGTAATCGCACATCCAGCTGATGTCAGACATAAGGACGCGCTCCACCATCACCGTCTACTCACAGTTTCACCTCTCTGTCCGGGGTGGCCAGGAAGTCCATCTTTCCCTGGTGGACCCTAAGAAGAAGAATTAAAATTGTTAGTGGTTAATACACACATTTCTTAGCAAGATCAACTGGTCTGCACAGCCAAAGAAAGATGATGATGTCAAAATAAAAGTGAAACGAACTTGGTGAATTCAGATAGAGAGGAGTGGATTGCTTGCTACTGATCAGACATTGTTTGGATGAACCATGAGTCACATTTTTCATTACATTTATACATATTAAAGCAAGGTAGCCTAACATTCAGGTCTGCCTAGTATATAGGGACCTTCTAACAGATATACTCATTGCATTTTTAAATTGCTTGGGGAAGTTGCTCAATTAGGTTGCTGGGCAGGTCACTCATAATAACCAATAGGACATTAATGTTCATTTTCATAGTTGCACTAGTATAATCTCAGCTGAAATCTAATTGCCTGCTGTGGACAACAGCTTTCTTTTCTTAAAGTGTAAATGAGATCATGGACATTTAAATACACACAGGCTGTGCACCGCCATACAGCGTGCACATCCATGCAGAAACCTGCGTCCAGGAGTGTCAGCTAGTGCATGAAGCAGCCTTTACAACCATATGACAAGGCACAGCTGCAGCTGCTACACACTGACCTATACGTGCACATCCGTGCAGACAGTCTGCTTCCAGGGGCATGCATCTGTACCTATATGGATGTGCAAGTTTGGGTCGGCAGAATCTTGTCAGTTATACAGGCAGATGCAGGCACCAGCTGTCACTCCTGGGTGCAGGTTTGTGCATTGAGATGCACACTGTGTGGCTGTGCACATGAATTAGGCCTAAATGAACTTTCAGGCAAGATCTCACTGACCTCTATAATCACACAGTGGAGCAATTCATTCTCAAATTTTACAGACCTAAAGTTACCCAGGTCCTGCTCTCAGCAGCACAGCCAACCCTGTTTTCCCCTCCCAACAGTGACTTGGCAGTCATCCAGCCTTCTAATCTCTCATGTAAACACATAGCAGGTGCTCTGGGAGAGGGGAGCAAAGTGCTGAGACCTGACTTGGACAAATTCAGAAATAATTCAAAAAGTTTGACTGGCAAGGTTATTTACCTCTATATGCGTACCAACATCCCTTGTAAGTTACAACACATAGAAAATAAGCCTATGTGGGATTGTTAAGGTACCTTGTATATATGACATACTTTTATTTATTAAAATAACTAAATATGAATGATAAACAACTGTCATGGATTTCTGTTTGCCCTGTTTTGGCATTGCATGTCCAATAAAGTGTGCTATAAGTATTTAGCATTTTGCAAATTACAGTAGGAATTCAATGGGGCTTTCTGCTGCAGTTTGGACATCAGGAATATTACCACAATAAAAGCACAATATTGTGGTTTGCAATTGGATTGGCAGCCTTACCTATAGTCTATTTTACACACCTCAGCACAGATGACTATCTGACCTTTCTATCTGAATCATTGCAGATGATGAGTTATTTAAGAATATAAGGCAAATACATATACACATGAATTGCCTAGGGTGCCTTATGCCCCCACTCCCCAATATTCCTTATGGATGTGTCTTCTGGTCTAGCACACATGGGAGCGCTCACTCAGAGATTGCATAATTAATGGTGTTTTAGGCAACCGATTCCATTTGTACTGCTTCTACACATGATCCTCCAGGTTTCTCCTGAAGAAGTCCATGAAGCGCATTGGGAACCCACAACAGTTTTAAACCTTCTGATTTAGAAATTCTTCCTAGCATACGTATTATCCATGTATGATTTTTCACTGTAACCTTGGGGGAGGTGATATTGCCTGTACTACAGGAATCTGCATGAGTTTTTTTGACCATTGTTAAGTATTTTAATGTATCTTAATAAAAGATGTGTTTTAAAAAAATGTCATATCAGATAGCTTGTAAGCATTTCTCTGATTTAGAAATACTTATTAGCATTTATTATCCATGTATGACTTTTCATATTTTCATTTTGACTGTACTACAGGAATCTGCATCAGTTTTTTTTACCATTCATTTTAAGTATTTTATTAAACCATAATACAAATGTGTTTTATAAAGCCACACTGTCTGATGTCATATATACAAAATACCTTAAATGTTTTTTCATTTTCTGTGTGTTGGACAGATTCAAGGCTTCCCTTATGAACTTTGTGGATGAATGCGTCCACAGTCCCTGCAGCTACAAAGGTCAGGGAGGACTTGTTTTAAAGCTCACTTATTGTTTGTTAAAAATGCCAATAATTGAATATTCATAGCCTTCAAGTTATTTTTAAGAAATGACTTCCCTATACAAAACCAATGGTTATGTAAATTTGTTTTTTGCATACCTCATTGTGCTCCCTTAATAAATGCTTCTGAATAGGATTGCTAGTAGTCAAGAACTTGGGTATGCAGGAAGGTAGAACATGGTGTGATGGCTGTGCAACCTATTATAAGTGCTGTGAGAATAGCTGCCAGTTAAGGAGAAAGGGCATGAATAGGTGGACTCTGCTCACCAAGACTCACCCTTGCTCATCCCTGTTAATAAGATACACTGTGTACTGCTTGGCCTACATAGGAGCCATCTGAAGGTCTAGTGGCTCTTATGAAGCAGTGTAGAGATCGGTGTATGTGTGCCAGGATGTAGCTCTAGAACACTCTGTTATGGGACCCAGAAGTAAGTCCATTTTAAGACACACATGATTCCAGCTATGTTTTGCCTTCTACTTTCAATATATGCAGTTAATGTTGTTTACAAGTTTACAGTCATGCAAAGAAGTATGTGAAAGAAGAAAATGGTCTACTTACAGGGGGGCCCTTTGGTCCTGGAAATCCAGTGGGTCCTTGAGGTCCGGGTGGTCCCTGTGGCAACATGAAACTTAAGTTACATTGGAAGTAAACTATTTCGCCACTTTCAACAATAAAATAATTTTTTGGGGCTGTTACATGCATTTGCAATGCTATTTCTTAAAGCTGGAACTAATCACAGGCAGGCTACAGTTTCATCAAACTACAGATGATGCGTTATGGCAAAACATGCCCAGCAATATACAAGTTTGTTGTCAGATTATTGGCAGTTATAAGCTGGACCCCATAAGCAGATACTGAGGTACTCTAAAGCATGGTTTTGTCTTGCACAATGTAGCAGCCATTTAGAAGCATGATTGGGCAATGGAACAAATATGTTAATGCAAAATATATACTATGCAAAATTCAGCCTCTGCCATTGGAATAAACATTTTATATCAGAGCACAAACTGCACATTCTAACTTAATTAGAACATGTTCTGACAACACAAAAAGCAGATAATCCATAGAGTTATGCTTTTCCATGGCACCATGCTGCCATGGCAAATGTCAGATCTACTCTACATCTGGCAAGTTTAAAGGTTCTAACTGGCCTAGTGGCTCGGCCAGACTGAGACATGCAGTTGGAGTTCTACCTTTCTTTAAAAAAGTGCTACAAAAATCACTTCTTTGGTGCGGCCCCCTTTGCTTTCGGGCTCTTGCCATTGTCCAGGCCACAAATTACATGTGAACAGATAACTTTGGGGGTCTGTCATCATACTGGGGAGTAGAAGTCACGGCTCTCCTTTTTGTTGGATCTTGTATTAATGATACACGTATAACATTGCATTACATTTCATTTTACTATGTGTACAAGCACTGTCCCAGGGGCCTGCAATTCTAATGTGTAATTCAAGTCTAATGTTTTAGAGAAAGAATGCTTTGATCATTTTTATGAAGAAGTCCACATGCCATGGGAGGTGCAGTTCTATAGAACCCCTAAATTCTTTATGTTTTGATATCAACAAGTGTCTGTGCACCATTGTTCTGGGACCTCCAAGTGTTGGTGTGCCATTGTTTTAGAAACCCTCCCTCGACTGTCTGTGATCGGGGAATCAACAATTGTTAATGTGTCATTGTCCTGGAATCCTGAGGTGTCAGCCTGTCTTTGTTCAGGGATCCCTCCATGGTTTTCACTGTTCAGGGATCCCCAGGCATCAGTGTGTCACTGTTTTGGGACCACGTGTGTTAGTGTTTCACTGCTCTAGGGTCCTAGAGTTTCAGTTTGTTGGTTTCCTATGTGTTCGTGTGTCACACATTCTGGAAACTCCAAGCGCCAGTTTTCTGAGATTCAATTGTCACTGTATAATTGCTCTGGGATCCCTCACGTGTCAGAGTGCCATTGTTTGGAAATTCCCCCATGTGTCAGAGTATCAGGGTTCTCAGATCCCAGAGTGTCAGGGAGTCATTGTTCTGCGATCATCCACATGCGAGTGTATCTGTGCTCTGAGACCCCGGGCTGTCATTGTTCTGGGATTCCCCAAATGTTAGTGGGCAGTATAATTGTTCCAGAACACAGTAAGACGTTGTTTTCAGGTATGGGGGTTATTTGACTATATCTAATGGTGCTACTGCAGTTCAGGATCACGATGTGAAAAAATAAGGAAAATGTAGCAAAAACTTTGCTTGTTGGCAAAAACAATCCCTTTTCTGCCTTCCTGTGCTACAATAACTGAGGTTTTCCATAGAAACCTTCCTAACTATTCATAAGTCAGCAGCTGGAAAGTAGAAATAAAGACTCTGGGGGAGTAGAAGGACAATTTTGATGCCCGTGGCATGAATTCACACCCTCTATCAATCTCCTGTAACAGGTAAAAGACTGTGTGCTATCCGCTCTAGTATCTCCAGATACGATTAAGAACTAGTTTAAAATCCAGCAGCATGTGTACAATAACTTGTCTGTGAGTTTGTGCAGTTTCAGACTATGTGCTGTATATCTTTGCTTCCTCCCTGCTCTGTGTGTGTAGCCCGCAGCTGCCTCCGAATAATGGATGTGCGCACAATTAACTGTACAGACACAACGACAGCTTGAACGAACTGAACTGAAATTGTGAGACTTTTGTTCCTATGGGTCCTTATTATTAGCACTAGCACATATATGAATTGACCACTTCCCCCAGTCCTTCATGGGCTAATGCTAAGTATATCTTCTGGGCTGCTCTTAAAGAAGGCAAACATCCTATCTCCAACAAACATCTCTGCACCTTTCCCATGCCACTGCGGAGAATATGTTATATACTTCCGTCATTCAAAGTTTTCTTATAAATACTAGCAATGTGTGCCAATTGCTTGAACGGCTAATTAGGAATGGTGTGTTTTATTGAAGTGAGAAGTGTCTTACATCGTATTTTTTATAATTTTTGAGTGTAAACTATGTTTTTTACTAAGGCTTCAGAAACATGGATGAATGACAATACCACATTATTGTTTCATCAGAGTCACACAGCGCCATGCTGTAGCTCAGAATGGACTTCACAAATATGTTACATGTTTGCTCGTGCTCTCATCATATTTTAGTATGACAAGTTGGACCGTGACATATAGGCTCAAGCAATACAGTGGTGTTGGCACACTAAAGATGGCTGTATGAGTACAACAGCCACAGTGTTATATTGGGTATAAACTGTGTATAAACAAATTCTAACATCCATAGCTTCATATAACTGCTTACAATATTAAACCAACTTCATATGCCACTCTGCAAATTAATGCATTGTATGGCCTGTGCTAACAATCTCCATATTTAAGACCTCTAAATGTCAGCATCTTCTATGTTTCCTATAGTCCATAAATGTTGGAGATTAATGCTACAATGGCATCGGAGTGTTCTGCAACAAAAACCTCTGGTTTTAAACTTAGAAGTTGAAACTGTTCAGTTAGGTTGTTTTGGGGGGGCTAGCTTGAAAGTGTGCTGGGGACCTTTTGTAATTTATGCTACCAAACTGACTGCATGTTCTGATTAAGGGCTTTATGACTGTGTGTCTGCCCTGTCTTGTGTGCTGTGTACGTGGTCTGTCTGTGTGGTGTGACCACATATGCAATCTGTCTGCATGTTATGACCAAATGCTCTCTGACTGTGTCCATCATATGTGTGTGCGTTTGTATTACACTTGCTGTGTGCTGTCAGTTCCTTTTCCAGTTCAATTCCTGGGTGTGTAATTACTCCACTGTCTGTATGCTTCAGTAAACGTGCATGATTATAATAAAGGAGGAGAGAAGCAGACACATGGGGGAAATGTAACACTGCTAAGAGTATGCATGGGGTAGTAAAGCAGTGAGGAGCAGAGAGATAGCACATGGTGGCACATGGGCCATGACACTGTTGACTGCGACATGTTGACTTTGAAGATTCCAGTACTGCTGACAGGGAACAGGCGGTGTTCTTCAATAAAGGAGAGCTGTAAGTGGCAAGTGAAGAGCAGACAGAGGGATGAATGTATGCTTACTGAGGGTTTAAAGCTGAATGGATGGATGAAGCCTCCAGTGTTGGATAAAGGAAGGAAAATTCTGTGTACTGGAGAACGTATCTCTCTGCTGGAAGGGATAGTGGGAAGTGAGGTGTAAGCCCTTCCCGTGTGAAAGTGGCATTTAGAATTACAATTTATATAGGATAGGGATAGGATAAATGAGACACAAATAAATTAGTTTCTAATGTCTGAAAATCATCTGTGGGGGGAAAAAGTATTTTATATGCCCTTTCTCATATCGCAAGTAAAAACAAGCTGGATTTCTTGAAAGCTATATATATATATTTTTACTTTTTTTTTGTTTTTTTATTCTTATTTATTTTCAACAATGTAAGGGAAGATAATGGTTATGGTAAATGAAGAGTGCTCTTATTTACAATTTTATTTTCAGACCATTCACAGTACTGGGAAAGGCCATACAGTCAGTAGTCCAGGGAGGCAGTGTTTCAAAGAGACAGCTGCCTGCCATAGTAGTCATAGACAAAATTTGCTTAGCATATGCTTTTCTTATACTATAGAAGTTCACCCACAAAGATGTCAATATGATAGGCAACATGAAAGTAGCTATGGAAAAAAGGGG